ATACCTGGACTACATCAAACACACTTCTGCCCAGGGCCATTCTCACTTTCTTCAGGTGCCTGTGAAAATGGGTCACTTTTTGAGAGAGCTCCTCCCTGAGCAGCTTATATAAAATAGCAATCATTTCCATATTCCCTGCCCTCACTCTCTTATCTTTCTTTCAGATACTTATCACCATCTGATGTTATCTAATTATTTTGCTGCCTCCCTTCCAATTAGATTTAGGCTCTATGAGGTCAAAGACTTTGTTTTGTTCACACTTGTATATACAAGGCCTAGAACTACAGCGACATGTAGTAGGGGCTCAATACATTTTGCAGATGGAATAAATGGAATAAAAAATTGTGTATCCATAAAGTAACATAATGTTTGCCATTTATAGTATTTTTTCCAGTGTACCATCACTCTAAGCATTGTATACACAACTCAAAGGGATTTTACTAAGAGAATTAAGGTGATTTAAATGATTGTTCAACCAAAATTATATTTAATCTTCAACTGGAAAAAGTAATACTTATTTAGATGGGGGAAACAGCATTTATTTTCATGTATTCTTATGATTTATTTAAAATTAAGCAAATAAGTAAGAGACATTGAAGTTAATGACACTATCATTCTACTAGATATAGTGTTGAAAGCAATTAAGATTTTTTAAATAAATTTTAAATACACTCACTTATAATTTTAAATTTATTCATGCAATTATTTTGATTCGTCAATATTTTTACATCAACTTCTTTGTTTTTAAAAAATCTGATTACAAGTTCTTTTTAAAAATCAACATATTATAGAGTATCATAGTAAGGTCAGAGATGCATATAAACCTATCCTCACAAATGATGAAAACTAGCCTCATAAGTCCAGTGATACTTAACGATTGTACTTTAAGAAGATATTCTGAGACTGGGTTGGAGTTCCAAGTAACAGCTCATTCAGTTCACCCTCACCTGCTAAGGCATAGTATCTAAAGAATAATATAATGCCAACCAAAAGTGGTTGTGCCCAGTGGCTTATAACTTCAGCTATACACTGTGACAACCCACTACATAAATAGTCAGACCATCGAGTTTACATAGCCACCAACAAAGGCCTGCACTTCCCTCAAAGTGAATTCTGTTAAGAATTTGGATAATTTTCTTTCCAGAAGACATGACTTAGAAGCTTCCCATCCTATTACAGATGTCCCAAGAATATTGGGGGAAAGAGGCCCTGATCTCAATTACTTTCCTCCTAAGTGGCTCCTTGACCATGTTCCAAAAGTGATCATAATTTAGTGTTTAGTGTTTAGCATGGCAATCCAAGAATTCTATTCTCTACAGAAATGAGTGTTTACTTGCTTTACATTTGCACAACCAGAGAAACGGCCGTTCAAGGAATTATTCTGTAAGGAAAGTGTGGGCTATGCACCAATCTGGTCTTTATGGAGAAACAGTGCCTCTTCCCAGGTGCTCTGTCACATCATCATGAAAGTATAAGAAAGAAAACATGGAAACACAGCTTCATTAAAAGAAAAAAATTGCTACTACATTCTGATTTCTTTTTTTTTCATTAAAAATTTTTTTTAACATTTATTCATCTTTGAGAGACAGAGAGAGAGAGAGAGAGAGAGAGAGAGAGAGAGTGGGGGAGGAGCAGAGAGAGAAGGAGACACAGAATCTGAAGCAGGCTCCAGGCTCTGAGCTGTCAGCACAGAGGCCAATGCGGGACCCGAACTTACTGACTGCGAGATCATGACCTGAGCCGAAGTCGGACACTTAACAGACTGAGCCACCCAGGCGCCCCCACATTTTGATTTCTTAATTCAAATGTTGTTAACATTTACTATAACACTTGCTTTAAAATATGACTTTGTAATTAAGATTAAAGTTTAGATATGACCTATCTGCAGAGACTATAATTTGTTGTCAATATTTCTACAGCTTTTGGGTAATCTATCATATTATTAAAATGCTTCACACACAATGAAGGAGAAAAAAATATTGCCTAGTTAGCACTACAAGACTCTTCTCAAACATAACTAATATTTATTTTCAACAAAATTGCTATAGAAAACTAAGTTGTATGAGATTTTATATGATCTCTACAACTACTAGGCAGTATCATACTGTGGAATGACTATATTTTATTTCATCTGCGACACTATTCTTTTCGGTGGAAAAGATCTCTTATTTATTCTGATTTTAACATTCACCCTGTGGCTTAAATTCTAATAATATTTCTGAAGGTATAAATAAAATAGTTTAGTTCAAGATAGGAGCAATAATCATTCCCAAGTTCTCTCTCATAATGGCTCATTGCAGGGAGAATGCACAAAAAAATAGGAGGCAAGGACATTTTCCAGGAATTACAGCTGCAGGCTGTACTAATAACCTGGGTTCGGGTATCAAATTGACATTTCTGCTCTAGTGACAGCTCCATCGTAACCACTCAGCTCTGCCCTCTGTCTGTCTCTTTATTTCTCCTCTTCCGCTCAGTACTGATTCTACTGCCTCTGTTTCTACGCTTTCTCTCTGGGTATTACATTTAAAACTCCCAAACAGAGAGAATGTGATTGAATTGTTTTGTCACTATCAAATCGAGATCATCCCTGTCAGGTGCATTTGCTTGTTTGGTTTTTGCCTTCCCTTTTAACAAGGGATGCTCTTCATTCCAGTCTAAGATGGCCTTTTGTTTAAGAGGCTGATTCCTGCTTCAGTTACTTATGGAATCAGAGTCAAATGTCAAATCAAAGGGCTGTGAGGGTGAGTTATTTAGAGTTTCCTAGTCTGTTTAGTACTCTAGATATATTTAGCCATAAGCATGGAAGAAATATATTATTTTGGATATATTTTCAATTAAATAATTAGTGCTTATGAAGAATCTAACAATAACGTACAAATCCTTACCTGACTGAAAACGGCATGTTCTTCTAGTAATTGTTACTCCTGCGGCCCTCTTAGAAAGCATTACCAGTGCAAATGCACGTTATCTACATGTGTTCTTTCACTTAAAAAAAAAATGTTTTTAAGTGTTTCTTTGTGAATTGGCTCTCTTTTTCATTTTGTTTTCATCTTAAAAACTTTAATAAAAAAATTAAAAACATCATCACTTAGATTTTGTGGAATGTTTGCCAGGGTCATAGCTCATATTTATTTACAATAATGCTATAATTGTAACAAACCAAATATCTTGTAATAGACATAGGCATTCATTGATTGGCATTTACATAAAACTAAAGGTTAATTTATTAGAATTTTTAGAAAGAAGATACAGAAAATGAATTTGTCAAATAAGTATTCCCCAATATCAAAATTTTCATACTGATATTATAACAATTATAATTCTGACACAATGGTTGCCTTATTCCTGAAAGAAAAGGGAAACTTAGCAGATGGAGTAGATGCTGACTGAGCCTGGGAAAACCAGGCAGAAAGGAGTCTCTCGGATTCCCCTCTGCCTAATGCCCCCAGGTGTTACTTCCATGCTACCTTGGCCATTTCACAGAGAGATCAAGACTTCTTCCACACTGACATTGGCACAAATTCAGCAAAGGTCCCACTGCTCTGGAAATCCCAAACAAATGTAAGGGGTTTTAATGACCCCCTAAGAAGAATTTTGACCCCAGGAGAGGGCAAGGCACAGAAAGATATCTTTTCAGCACCTAGCTATGACTATACACTAGTCTCACTAAATTGTGCCAAACCTGCCACTCGAAATCCAGGAGAGACTGTATGACCACTTGTAGGTTCACTCTATCATTTGTAGTCCTCCTGGCTTCAACTTTGAGCTCAGCAAATATTTTTATTTTTCAAAAAGGCAGACTTATGCATAAAACGGTAGCTCATAAGACTAACTTTTCACTACCGACCTGTAAAAAGTTTAATTTGAAATTCAAAAATGATCTGTGATATTTTTTGGTCCATGCTGTATTTGTTTCCCCTGAGGCAACAGCTGCTACTGCCTTTGTAAATCATGGGAAGGTGAACATCTAAAAAATTTACAAAGAAGCATCTTTGTTAAATGCTTTCCTGTATTATTTGGCTCCACTAGTCTCAGTAGTTGTAAACAACAAAAGGCAGGAATACAAGATATTCATAAATAATTCTTCGTATAGAGTAAAAGTAGTGGCAAACTTCAACGAAAGTTTGGTCCAATAATTTTGTGACCTTAGTGTGAAACAACTATTATTTTATTTTGCATACATTTTGTACAAACTAAAAACAAAAACCTGGAATGCAACCTGCCACACTAGAATCTTAGTTTAGTCTATTTTCTAGAATTTAAATTCGAGATTTTTGACTTTGGAACAAACCTAACTATTAAAAGAAAAATACTGTGCTAGACACTATGTCTAAAGACACGACGCTCCTGAAAGGTAAATAAGGCAAGCACAGGAATAAGTATAATAACATAAAAAGTTAAAATAATTGTGAAAGTTAATAAAAAGAATCATATCATTGTAGAGAAAGGAGTAGTAGTTACGAGAGGCCTCTTGCTAAACCAGACTCTAATACAGGAGATGTGATTTTAATAAGCTGGCTGCTTCTTTAAATACCTTCAGAGAATTTCCCTGACTTCCCTGTGAAGAAGGGGACTTTACTCATTATGTAGGGTAGCCAATCTCATGCCTGCCCAGTCATGAGAATTATTAGAATTTTTTTTTTAATTTTTTTTCAACGTTTTTTATTTATTTTTGGGACAGAGAGAGACAGAGCATGAACGGGGGAGGGGCAGAGAGAGAGGGAGACACAGAATCGGAAACAGGCTCCAGGCTCCGAGCCATCAGCCCAGAGCCTGATGCGGGGCTCGAACTCACGGACCGCGAGATCGTGACCTGGCTGAAGTCGGACGCTTAACCGACTGCACCACCCAGGCGCTCCAGAGAATTATTAGAATTTTTTGACATGGCATCTTAAGGTAACCTTTGATAGATATACTATAAAGTAAGAACTCCTTGGTCTTACCCGCTTTAAAAAAATCCTGAAGGTGTCCGTGAGCATTTAACATATAACAAAATATCCTTCACCTGAGAGTACTTCAGTTTAATAAGCCAACACCGGAAAAGCGTGAGTCATGGAGTTCCTGAGAGGATCTGCGTAGGACAACAAGGAAAGTATATGTTAGCGCTGTCTTCACACTTGCCCTGTATTATGCAAGCTTTTAGCATGCTTGATATTTTATAATGTCAGAGAATACAAGGAGATTCCACTTACTATCCCCAATGACAGGAGACAAGTTATAATTGATACACTGCCCTGAGTGTATGGGGGAGCGTTTCGTTTCAGGTAGAAAAATAACAGCGGGTTGTATCCATAGAGGCTGTGCATTAACCAAGCTCTTCCCCCACTTCCTTCTAAGATGGTGGGTGGCACAGCCAGTTCCATAGTTCTATGTGGACCTTTCAAATACATGCAAAGAAACAGATCTCACCAGAAGACTTTTTTTGTTAGAAGACTAAGAAAACCCATGCTTTAAAATGTCTTTGCACAGAGGTGACTGGGTGGCTCGGTTGGTTAGGCGCCTGGCTCTTGATTTTGGCTCAGGTCATGATCTCATGTGAGACTGAATCCCCTTTTTGGCTCATTGCTGGGCGTGGTGCTTGATTAAGATTCTGTCTTCCTCTGCCTCTGTGCCGACCCCACTGGTGCGCTCTCTCTCTCTTTCTCGCAAAACAAACAAAAAAAGTCTCTGCACAATAGAATACTTTTTTAAATGTTTATTTATTTTTGAGAGAGAGACAGTGCATGCACAAATGGGGAAGGGGCAGAGAGAGAGAGAGAGAGAGAGAGAGAGAGATACGGTCTGAAGCAGGCTCCGCGCTGACAGCAGAGATCCCACATGGGGCTCGAACTCCGGAGCTGTGAGATCATGACCCAGGCCAAAGTCAGACACTTAACAGACTGAGCCATCCAGACACCCTACAATAGAATAATTTTTAAACAAATAAAAATATAATGTACACTGGGCCAGCACTAGCACAGTACATCTATTGTTAAAATTACATCATTGAATTTTAATTTACTCTCCACCCTAGTGAACTATGGGCTCCTTGAGGAAAAGAACAGTCCTTTATCTAACCTCTTTGTCTAACAGCCCGTAACATCATCTCCATCATGTAGATTTTCCATATGCTAAAAAACCTCAGGAACCTATAAAAAATCTATTTAACCTATAATTGTGAACATTGACATTCTCAGCCCAAAACTACCAAAAATTAATGTAGCAAGACCAGGAGTTAAAACAACAGGAAACAAAAGAAAAAGAAAATTTTTTTAAATAAATCTTTATTAATGTATTAGTGCTTGATTATCTACCTATTAGAAAATGATATAAACATAATTTGTAGGATAATTTGAATTGATAGTTTCATCATATATAAGACTATTATTGATTAATGATAAGGACAATATTTAACCTTATTTTAAAGTTTAGATTTGTCCTGTTTTTGGCTGTTGATATATATTGGCAATCCTAAACCATTTGACTATGATTCAGATAACATTGTGCTTTATTTTAAAGATAGAAAGAGAAATGTAATGGTTAAAGGGATCCACAAGTATAATTAAGGCATGCTAAACTGGTTACTTTTCTAAATCACTTTAAGGGAAGTGAAGCAACTTAGATGAACAAGGCACTATTTTAGACGATGCATTCCTCAGCTCAGACATCCCATTTGTGACAAAAATCATCACAGATACTAACTAGAGTAACACAGGCACCATGACAGGACAGCTGAGATTAGAATTGTCTTAGTAACATTCCTGATGGCAAGGCACTAGAGGAAGTGATTTTTTCGTATGTCACCTGCAAAACAACGCATATGACACCAATTAGCGTTCAGCATTTCAAAAATAAAGCATCTCTTTTTTGTTTTATTTATTTTTGAGAGAGTGTGAGCAGGGGAGGGGTAGGGAGAGAGGTGAACAGAGGATCCAAAGCCGGCTCTGCACTGATAGCAGTAAGCTCGATGCGGGGCTTGAACTCACAAACCCCCGTGACAATGACCTGAGCCAAAGTCAGACACTCAACCAACTCAGCCACCCAGGTGCCCCCAACAAAGTATCTTTTTAAATATTTGAGTAATTTCTACATATTCTATGTTTTATCTAATGCCTTTCATTTAAATTTCAATTTTATTCCAGGAGTTAAAATCACTGACTCTGAAATAAGCTCCATGAAGGCCAGGACATTTTGCCTTGTACAGCAGTGTATCCACTACCTACACGGTTTATGACACATAATAATCCACAGCTCACCAATGATTATTTTTAATATAAAAAACATTAGGGCATGGGTAATTGAAGATTCCTAAAGGCTTGAAAAAAATCCTAGGTCAACACTCTTGCAAAAATATGGTTTATAATGTTTGCATTAAATATATATCATGCCACAAAAATAAAACAACAAAATAATGTATCTTATATATTAAATCGATATTACTTATACTTCATGGTGTATATCCTATAACTAACAATGCATATCTTAATGGTTATGTATTTCTGCCAACAATTTGTTCTAAACTATACCCTGAATAAAAACTTAGCTTCAAAGAATAGTAGTTAAAGTAACTTCTAAAAGTCCTAAAGATCTCAACTTGTATTTTGCCTTATTTTAAGCAAATATAAATAAATATATATAGTCATTCAAAACATAACACAGAAAAAGTAATTTTTCTGACATATATGAAATCAGTGAATGAGTCTAAAGCAGTTCATTTCACTCTGCTACAAATTGAAGAAAACCAAACTGGCATAAACAGTAATTAAATTTCAGGCACTGTTCTGCAATGCATGTTCAGCTTCTGAAGAATAAGCAGCTGCTTGTAAAATGTGGCAATCTCTTCCTCTTAAAAGAGGAACAGAAAACCTCTTGAAAAGCAGAGAATCCCACAAATGGAAGACTTTTTAAAAAATCTATGGATGAATAATAAACTTTCATTTGAACAAGTAGAAAACTGTGATACAGCCCTCTGCATGAATATTATAGAATGTTAGCATTTCCATTAATTTCTTCTTATAAATTGTCAGGTTGAACACAAATCATTCAAATATTTTAGAAACTGTAAACTCTACATTTTATGCTATCTATAATCTCAGAAGGACACAATATTTAACATCAAATCGAAAGCCATCCCTAACACAGCTCAATAGGTATGCTCACATGTATTTAAACCTATTTTCAGATTAAATCTGCTGCAATGGCTTTCAAATAAAGTACCATATCTGAAATCCCAGCACATCTTTTATTTGAACCCAAACTACTTCAAACTGAGTCACTTCTCCCTGATTAAAGCCTTGGCAACCACCACTGAGAGTTTGCTTTTAACATGTCAACTCATAGACTCCAAGAATTCTACTTTTTGTAATAAAGTTCACTCAAAGTTTGACAAATAATTGCAGGTGTCAATTCAGGGGAGAGATGAAACCAAGAAGACCTATTTAAGGATGGTCACCTTTTTTCATATTTTCTACCTCTGCTGGAAAATTTGCAGATGAACAATAATGACAAAATGGAGTTTCTCAAACTGGATTTGACTTCTGCTCGCCAGAAAAAGTCCAGAGGTCACCACCAAGCACAGTCCTTCTCCAGCACAGCATATGCTTCTCAAAGAGTTTCTAGTGGTTTCTTTTTTGTAGAAACTACACTAACTGCCACCATCATGTTAAAATGCAGGTAACTGGGGCGCCTGGGTGGCGCAGTCGGTTAAGCATCCGACTTCAGCCAGGTCACGATCTCGCGGTCCATGAGTTCGAGCCCCGCGTCAGGCTCTGGGCTGATGGCTCAGAGCCTGGAGCCTGTTTCCGATTCTGTGTCTCCCTCTCTCTCTGCCCCTCGCCCGTTCATGCTCTGTCTCTCTCTGTCCCAAAAATAAATAAACGTTGAAAAAAAAATAAAATGCAGGTAACAGAACAGAGTGCGGAAATAAGAGCTCTAAAATTGCTTAAAATTCAGCATGCAAACCTAAACGCTTGACTCAGGAGGATTCCTTAAGATGGTTATTCAAAATTTATTTACTTGTTATTTATACACCATGAATAACTGATTTCTTGTAAGGAGAAAACACACAGAAGTTTAAATAGGGCGTTTTATAAAATCAGAAATACCAACCATAAGGACGGAAATGGATAAATACAGTTTTTCCATGGTAACACAATTTGGATCCAAATGATAGCCTATTATCAAAAAAGTGTCAGTTCTGTTTAGTATATTTTATTTAAGAAAACAAGGAGGCATGCATTAAATGATTTAGAAATATTTCCAAAAGTGTCTAATTTTTATATTATTATCAATGGAAAATAAATGTATTTAAAAAAAAAACAGTAGACAAAAATGCTACTTCATCCTTAATATTGCTTTTTAAACGAGAAGAGATTCCCTGTGGGAGATTTCTGGTTGCAAAAGATTGGTTTCTTAAGTAGCCTCCCAGACACTTAGGGCATGAAGAAAATTGCTTCAGTGCATTTGAATCAGACTTAGAAGAAAAACTAATATCAATAACATGTTCCCCCCTGAGGTAAGTAATTTAGTCATTAGTCAACAATAAATCAGGCAGATTTCTACCCACTTTGTGGAAGCACTTACACCAAGAAATGAATAATTTCTTATAAAAAATATGTATCTTTGGTGTAATTGGGAATTTATATAAAGAATGAGATTCAAACAAGTATAACTCAAATTGTGATTAAGTTACGTAATACAATTTCTGGTTTAAATAGATTTAGTTATAATATAAAGAGAAAAAAATCCTTTCTTCCCACTTCCTATCTCCACCTGTCATTCCAACCTCTACTCCCCAGTTTAGTTCTATAATGAATATAGAAATTCAAAACATAAGTGTTCCTTTATATGACTATGCTAGGACTTTAAGTTTTAAGCAATTTGTGGGTAAATTTATGAACAAGTGAATTTCAAAACTTACTTAGAACCCAGAAAGGGAGAATCAATGACTTTCAGTTCATTACATTTGCTCTATCACAAATATTTTTTGCTCTTAAAAATGTCCAGTACAGGAAATAAAGTACTGCCTTTTCCCTTTCCAAAAACATTACACAAATTTTAGCCAAGATATTTTGTTGAGTGACTTTGTATCCAGAATAGATAAAAGTGAGAACCAGTTATTGGCAAGTACTTAACAATATTTTTTTGTTTCTTTCAGTTCTTTTTTTAAAGTTTATATTTAAATTCTAGTTAGTTAAGATATAGTGCAATATTGGCTTCAGGAGTAGAATTTAATGTTTTGCCACTTACATATAACACCCAATGCTCTCTCTTTCATTTCTTATAGAAATGTGATTGGGGAAAGGACAGTGAAAAGAACAAAGATCTAACCAATAATCTCCATAAATTTCTTTGTCACATCAGGTATACTTTTTGGAGGAAAAAACTCACCACTTATATAGAGCTAACCCTTTAAAATACAAGGATATCAGAACTAATTGTCTCACAATCTCCTGATATCTCAAAAGAGAGAAGTAATAATATCAGGATTATTCACTGTTGTGGGGTATATTTTCTGTTTATCCAAAGAAGAATATTTGTAACTATCTGTTCTTGAATTTTCTTTGGGAAGCAAATGTTCCAAGTGAGATGATTATGTTTTGTACGTATTGAAGAAAAGAAGATTCTGCATTGCTTTAAAAATTCAATGTAACCTAAGTAACAATAACTTAAGAAAAACACATTCTAAAGTGAAAATAGCTTTTGACCTTATACAACAATGTCAGATTTTCAGTATCAGGAAGAGATCATTATTCTCAGCATGGTGCCATATATGTTGCAAAAGTGCAGTGTCTAAAGAATTTTTTTGTGGAAAGCAATTTTGTCATATTATGTGCTTACCAAATTATCCCTTTGGGATGAAAAACCTTTGGCTTTTGAGTTAACTCTTGGTTCACTTGGATCAAAATTGAATGTGAAAAACAGTGAAAAATAATAACATAACTTCATAAAATGTTGTATAGCTCAAATGAGTTTTCTGTGTGTAGAAAGTGTCTTTAAAAAACATTATAAAGGGGCACCTGGGTGGCTCAGTTGGTTGGGTGACCCACTTCGGCTTGGGTCATGATCTTCCAGTTTGTGGATTCAAGCCCCGCGTTGGGCTCTGTGCTGACAGCTCAGAGCCTGGAGCCTGCTTCAGATTCTGTGTCTCCCCCTCTCTCTGCCCCTCCTCTGCTCATGCTCTGTGTCTCTCTGTCTTTCAATAATAAATAAATGTTAAAAAATTTTTTTAAAACATTATTAAAAAAGCTTCAATTTATGATGATGATCAGTCATAATGACAAATAAAAGAGTCTGCTTCAAGATTTTACTATTGCAAGACAACACAATTTTTCAGAAATTTAGGAGTCACAAGATTATCTGAAAATACCTAGATGTTTAACGTGAACAATTCATTTCACTACGACCATCACGCAAAGATCAGACTCCCCAAAACTGGCAATATGAATTAAATAAAATGTAATACAAAATAAACATAGTAAGATATATATCAAGTATGGTAACATAACTTCCAAGGCTTTTGTTTATGTTGCAGTAATAAACAATTTAGACAAAATGTAAATCTAAAAATTTATATCTCAGGAGGATTCACTGCAATGTTGTATTTAAACACTGATACAATGTTTAATAGTATTAATAACATAATATTCTAATTTTCCTAGGTTAAAGAGGCCCGTAAGAGTAAACATTTACCCTTATACATTAGGTCCTGGAATTTGTGGGCTCTTTGATCTTGCACGCAGTCTTCCATATTAAGTGCATATTGATTTAGGCAGTAATCACGTTTTTTTTTTTTTAAATGTGTT